TGAATAAACTAATACAAATCTAGCATCTAGCTCTCCATCTTAAAAATATTCTGCTCTTTGTAATTGCTAAAAAATAGCTTATAGGTTTCCTTTTTTTTAATCAGGGTTTTGACTACTAAGGTAACTGAGTCATAACTAATTGAAAGCTTATTTGAGATTCCGTTTATGTCAAGGCTTCTAAAAGATCACTTCATAATTGTTGTTAAACAACTATTAAGTGATACTAATACAGTTAGTAATATGTCTGTGACTAAAGATGTGTGGGCTGAATGTATAAGCTTCATTTAAACATATACAGAAGTTTACAGAGTTAAAAAATGTGTTAAGTTTAATACAAGTAATATGACCAGCTAAGGCTCTCTTTTATCCAAAATGTAAAGACCTTTGGATTTATGGTCAGTGCCATTCGGATGGGAGAGGCTGCCATGGGGACAGCCCTGCCATTTGAAACCTGAATTACATCATTTCTCCTGGCTGGAAGTACAATTTAAATAGCATTTTTAAAAAGTGCCACCTCATTACCTACAGAGCAGACAATATTAAGTTTACTTAAAAATGGATGCCAGTAAAAAAATAACTTGATGTCTCCTGGTCCTGGCAACCAGTCAACTAAATTTCCTGACAATTAGATTTCCCTTGTCACCTCTTAAATTTAAGATAAAAACGGGAGCCTCAAATAAAGGCCTCCATCTACCAGGGACCCTTAAATAGGCCTCTGTGAGAAGGCCCTCACTGCTATCCTCTACTGATGCCCTTTCTAGCTCAAAGCAGTCAAGGTTATATCTTCCAGAGGAAGAATGAGACAGAAGGGCCCTGGAAACCTCCATTATGACCGCCCTGTGACCTTAACAGGTGGAAAGAATGAAAAGCAGGACAGACCAGAATAAGTACAGTACACAGACTAGGACATAACCAATTAGAACATTTCGGGAACAGCCAACCAGAATGCTGCTTTCTGCACACCTAATTAGCATAGAGATTAAGCACCGCCCTGAAGAAAATGGATAAAAACCTCAGATCATATCACTTCTCTGAAGTCAGGTTCCCTCCCTTCCCACAGGAGCTTTCATTCTTTTCCTCAATAAACTTTCCTACCTCTATGCTCAAAAATAAGAAAACATAGCAGACACCTGTGGCTCACACCTGCAATCATAGCTACTCAGGAGGCAGAGATCAGGAGGATGGCGGTTAAAAGCCAGCCCAGACAAATAGTTCTTGGGACTCTATCTCAAAACACCCTGAGTTCAAGCCCCAGTGCCAAAAAAAAGAAAGAAAGAAAGAAAAAGAAAACAACAACAAATGCTGGTGGGCATGGAGGGGGAAAGGAACCCTTATATACTATTGGCAGGAATGGAAATTAGTACAGCTACTATGGAAATCAGTGTGGCAGTTCCTGAAGAAACTATATGATCTTGCTGTATTACTCCTGGGTGTATATGCAAAGGAATGTACGTAAGCATACAATAGAGATGCCTGCACACCTTGTTTATATCACCACTGTTCAAAATAGCCAAGTTATGGGATCAGCCTAAATATCCATTCAGTAATGAATGGGTAATACTCCATTTTGTATGTATATATGTACATATAGGTGGAGTATTATTTAACCACGAAGAATGGAATTACATCATTTGTAGAAAAATGGATGGAACAGACATCATCATGTGAAGCAAAATAAGCCAGACTAAGAAAGACAAACACTGCATGTTCTCCATTATATGCAGAATCTAGACCTACAAAAAATGAATATAAAACAGGGACCAGTTTTGGGGATCCAGAAGTTGGAGAACAGGCAAAAGGAGAAGGTGATGGGTTGGAGACTATGATTGGTGTACATTACGCATGTATGAAAATAGAATAATAAGCCCAGGCACTTAGGGCTCACACCTATAATCCTAGCTACCCGGATGGCTGAGTTTAGGAGGACTGTGGTTCAAGACCAGCCCAGGCAAATAGTTCTCGAGACCCTATCTCCAAAATAACCAGAGCAAAATGGACTGGAGGTGTGGCTCAAGAGGTAGAGCACCTTCTCTGCAGTGCAAAGTCCTGAGTTCAAACCCCAGTCCCACCAAAAGAAGAAAATAGAATAATGAAACTTGTTAAAAATTGCTTTAAAGGGGGAGATAAGAAAATATCACAGAGGGACTGAATTTGATCAAAGTACAGTGTATGCATGTATGGAAATATTATAATGAAACTCCTTTTTACAATTAATATACATTAATTTATAAAAAGCAGAAACATTTCAACAGCTGTTAGCAAAAATCAACAGGAGCTGCAAACAAAAAGGTAAGTGGGAGAGATTCAAAGCACGACAAACACTCCGTGTGTGAAGAAATGAACACAGCTAAAAGGAGATGAAAGACAGGACCCTAGCCAGTAGCAAGTGAAACCTGGGCATCACATATAATCACAAGGAATTGCATTCTGCCAACAACCTGAGATGGGTGTTTTTTGTTTTGTTTTTGTAGTACTGGGGCTTTAACTCAGGGCCTTTACCTTGAGCCACTCCACCAGCTCTTTTTTTGTGAAGGGTTTTTCGAGATAGAGTCTCATGGACCTATTTGCCCTGTCTGGCTTCAAACCACTATCCTCCTGATCTCTGCCTCCTGAGTAGCTAGGATTACAGGCATGAGCCACTGGCGCCCAGCCTGACTGAGTTTTGGAGTAGGGTTACCACAGAGCTGCCATAAAGGAACACTGTCTTACCCACACCTTGACTTTGGTCTTGTGATACCCTAAGCAGAACTCAGTAAAACCATCCAGACTCCTGACCTACAGAACTATGAGATAATAAATTTGGGTTCTTTTAAGTTGCTCATTTTGTGATCAGATGCCATAGAAAACACATTAACTCTTATTAATAAAAAGAATACCTAGGGCTGTGGAGTGGTACAAGCAGTAAGAGAGCCTGCCTAGCAAGCATGAGGCCCTGAGTTGAGACTCCAATATTGCTTAAAAAAGGAAAAAAAAGTATACCTAAGTAATCTCAAAGTGTTCTCCATCCAATTACTTACTAGCTATTAACAAAATCATAACTTTACAGATTAATCTAATGGATACAACCATAACCAAATAACCTAAGTTAACATCACCAATGAAGGGACAAATCATGCCCTGTTGATAAGCTGCACAGAGAAAAATATAACATCACTTTATGTAATATTCTGCCAAAATATACAACCTAAATCTAATCACAACTAAACAAATAATCCACATTAAGGGCCATTCAAGGAAGTAATAACTTAGTCCTTTTCAAAAATGGCACAGCTCTGATAAAGAAACGGTTTTAGATTTTAAAAAGACTAAAGATGCATGTGAACTGTATGCAATGTGTAATCTTGAACTAGATCCTGGACTTTGGGGAATAAAAAAACTTACCTATGACCATTACTGAAGTAATTGATAAAAACAGCAACTCTGGATTTACTTTACCATCATTTACCCTCCTTCCCTTTGTTATTCTTTACTTCCTATATTTGCTGGTCGTTATTGCAATTACTGTCCTCTTGATTTCAGAAAACCCTTCATTTCTTCCAGTACAGAGGTATTTTCTCTAGCGTAAGGCTTGTGACCTCCAGATCTCACCTTTTATTTATTGGGAGACATCATTACTCCACTCTTCATTTTTAAGGATTTTTTTTGTTCCCACTAAATGTGGAGTTCTAAATTGAGAATCATTTGACACTTAAAGAAACTGCTTAATTATCATTTGCTTCCTATCATTTCTGGTGTTAAATAAGTCATCAGTATTACTGTTTGTTCCTTTAAAAGTCATACCTTGCCGAGTGCTGGTGGCTCACACCTGTAATCCTAGCTACTCAGGAGGCAAAGATCAGGAGGACTGAGTTCGAAAGTTCAAAGCCAGCCCTGGGCAAATAGTTCATGAGACCCTATCTTGAAAAAAAAACCATCTCAAGAAAAAAAAAGGCTGGTGGAGTGGCTCAAAGTGTAGGCCCTGAACAATACCTTTTTTCTTCTGCCTACTTAGATGATTTTCCCTTGGCTTTGGCTCTTCAGGAGTCTGATTGTGATATGATTGATTAATTGTAGTTATCCTGCTTGGTATTCACAGCATTTCTTCAATCTGTGGCTTGATGTCTTTCAGTCACCACTTTTGCTTTGCCAGTATCTTTTCAAATTTGACTTCTGACACTTCTCCCTTCCCTCCCTTACATGTGTGGTACTGCTTCTTACTATAGAATTTTTTTTTTGCAGTACTGGGGTTTGAACTCAAGACCTGGCTTGCTAGCCAAGTGCTTTACCACTTGAGCCACGCCCCTAGCCCTTCACCGTGGTATTTTTTCTTATGATATGTGTGTGTGTGTGTGTTCATCCATCTCTCTATACCTACTGACCTGACACAGGATTTAAAAAAAAAAAAAAAAGAGAGCCAGGGGTGGTGGCACATATCTGTAATCCCAGCACTCAGGAGTCTGAGGTAGGAGGATGGTGTGTTCAAAGCTAGCCTGGGCTATATAGTGAGTTCAAGGCCAGCCTGGCTACACAGTGAGACCATGTCTCAAAAACAAAAAAAGATATTCGCCAAATAAACTCAGAAATATTATTAAACAACATAAAAATGTAACTCCCAGTACATGAAATATTCATATGCAGGGGGAGAAGAGCACTTGTCTATGAAGCTCAAGCCTCTGAAATCAATCCTCAGTACCATAAAAAAATTCTATACTGCTCCCACCTCTTCTAATACTATTTTTCATTATGGTCAACACTCAACACCCTATCAGACTTTTCCATTGGTACATAAAACCAAACTAAATGCTTCCTTCTCTAAGTTTCTATAAACCATACAAAGCTTACATTTTTACTTGCCAAAATGAAAATTGCCCATAGCAGATACTAGCAAAGACACACAATAGGGATTCTATAAAGCTTGCTCATCTCATTATAAACTGAAAGCCTTTAATAGCTGCTCCTTTCCTTCCAAAAAAACAAATGAAGAAAAGACTAGAAGATACAGCTTTACTTTTACAATTTACCTATGCTTTGATTCATTGCAAGTCGTGGAGGAGAACTTGTTTCTTCAGATTCTTCTGATGAGTGTGCCAGGAAGTCATGAAGCTTCTGCACCAATGTATTCAACTTGCTTTCACTATCAAAACAAAAATTTAAAGAACTGCTTAGTCAGCCATGTAATTAACTAAATATAAACATCTAAAAAATTGACAACCTATCTATTCCACAAAGACTTCTGAGAATATGCATATTCAAATAAGTGTTATGAGCATTGAAATTTATTTCACCAGGACAGAAAAATACAAGTACTTGTATACTAACCAAGAGTTAAAATATCACTTAAAAGAAAATGCTGACTGATATTATTCACAAAATACTCCCAAGAAATTGAGATCTTTCAAGGTACTGTATAGTTTTTAAGAAACAAAATAAACCCACCTGTCCCAAAAGAGAAATTTAAGGGAGTAAAGGCAAAAAGATATTCATATCTGAATTTTATTCATCTTTATTTCAGTCAATAGCTGGCTCGTGGACGTAGCTTGTCATACTATCAGTAAGTACTTTAGTAGTTATTTTCTCTTATTTGTACACAGGCTGTATTTTGAAAATCTTAGAAACCAAAACATAAGTAGAACACCTTTCTGAGAAAGATATAAATGTGTCAACACCTGAAGTAAGGAAAGCCCAGATTTTTTTCCTTTACATAAAAAAATCAGTAATTTACTGAATACATTTATTGAGCACTTACTCTCTTTGAAGCCCTCAGCAATGTTTTTTAAATTATTTTATCTTCTGCTTGGCACAAAATAATTGTATAACTGGCTTATACAAAGATCACTAAAACATAGGAAAGGACTTGGAAGAGATCAGACTTTCAACTTTACGGAAACATTTATGTAACTAAATTTTATAGTATAAACTGAAACTGTTAAGTTATATAACAGGGTTATAAGGAGCTCAAAGTTTAAGTTCAGAAAATAAACATTTACCCCATTTTTAATAAAAGATTTTCTAAATATGAACTCAAAAGGGAAAAGACAAATCTGACTTCATTAAAATTCAAAATTTTTGTGTATCAAAAAATACCATTAAGAAAGTAAAAAGAAACAATGTATACACATATGAATAAATGAATAAGCAATAAAAAAAGAAAGTGAAAATAAACCACACCAATAGAACACCTTTTTATTTCAGCACTGAGGTTTGAACTCAGGGTGCTGCACATACAAGGCAAGTGCCTGAGCCACATTCCCAGCCCTTTTGCTTTGGGCACTTTGGAGACAGAATACAGCTTCTGTTAGGCCAGCCTGGACCACGATCCTCCTATTTTAGGCTTTCAGCCATCATTGGGACAACAGACACATAACACTGAGCCTAACTATTAGTTGAGATGGAGGTCTCATGAACTATTTGCCCAGACTAGCCTTGAGCTGTGAGCCTCCCGATCTCAGCCTCCCAAGTAGCTAGGATTACAGGCATGAGCCACTAGAGCCTAGCTGAGAAAACCATTTTTAAATCATGTATCTTATATGGGTCTAGTATCCAGAATATATATAGAATTTTTACAATTAAACAAACAAAAGAGACAATTTAAAATGGGCAAAGAACTTAGATATATATACAGATCTCCAAAGAAAATACACAAATGGCCAATAAGCACATGAAAAAAATGCTCAAGATAATTTGTAATTTAGGAAACACCAATCAAAACCACAACCATTTTATACTATAACCTTTTAAAAAAGACAAAACATAAGTCCTGGGAGGATATAGTGAAATTAGAACCCATGCATGTTTCTGGTAGCCATGTAAAATGGTATATATATAGGCACTGTGAAAAAGGTGGTAATCACTTTAAAAGTTAAAAGTGCTGCCTGGCACAGGTGAGGCCCTAGGTTTATTCCCCACACTGCAAAAAAAAAAAAAAGTTATAAGAGTAACTTTTAGAGATCTATCCCAGAGAAATAAAAACATGCCCCTCCACAAAAAGTTCCATGAGAATGTTAACAGAAGCATTACTCATCATAGCAAAAAAGCAGAAAACACCCAAATTCCCATCAACCAGTAAATGGTAAACAAACGTGGCACTATCCTTACCAAGAAAAACCAATGGACTATTAATGCGTACTAAAACTGGAAGACCCTTGAAAACAATATGCTAGACAGGCAGATGTAATGTATCACATATTTTATGATTCCATTTATAAATATGTACCTTATTTTAAAAAAAGAAACCAAATACCCATTATCTCTAGTTAGATTATGTCTGCTATATCGCATTTCTTTGTTTCCCCTATATATCTTGTGGGTATTATTTTTCTTTTTACCATAATCCTTCTTTGGAAAAGAGTCAGATACACAAAAAAATTTATGGCCAGGTCATTTGGTGTTCTTAATGAGTATTATTAGAAAATGAATGGGACCTGAGGAAAAGATGCTACATGTCCACAGCACACAAAATTCCTTGCAACCAAAATTCAAAGACAGATATGAATGATGTCATCTTATACCATCAATGGAGCCAGAACATATAAAGAACTCCTACAATTCAAGAACAAAAAAATTAACAACCATTTCAAAAACAGACATATCTCAAAAGACAGAAACAGCCAATAAGTATGTGAGAAGCTGCTCTGCATCACTAGTTGCTAAGGAAATGCAAATCAAAACCATAATGACGTGCCACTTCATCCCCATTAAGAAGCTTATTATCCCAAAAAAAAAAAAAAAAAGTAAAGTAACAAGCACTGACAGTGACCTAAACAGTAGACAAACTGAAACCCTGGTGCATTGCTGGATTGCTGGTAGGAATGGCACGGCCACTGTGGAAAAAATAGTATCTTCAAAAAGATTAAGAATTACCGTATGATGGGGCTGGCAGAGTGGCTCAAGTGGTAGAGTGCCTCCCTTAGAGTTCAAACCCCAGTACCACCAAAAACAAAATTACCATATGATTCAGCAATTCACTCTAGGTAAAGCTCAAAAGAAATGAAAGCAAGGACTCAAACAGATCCTTGCACAACACTGGCATTCTTCAAGGCATTTTTTTTTTGAGATGGAGTCTCCCTATTTTACACACACTGGTCTTCAAATCCAGAGCTCAAATAATCCTCCCACCTCAGCCTCCCAAAATAGTTGGGACTAAGGGTGTATGCCAGTGTACCTAGCTCATAGTGGTCTGTCCCCAAATCTACCATTGACACAACTGATGCAAAACCAGGAAGGGATGGGAAGGAAAATACAATGAGAAAAGTGAACGATGGAAAACATGGTGAAATGATTTATGAACTCTGGCAACTGTCCCATCTATAAGAAGGCATAAAAAATTCCACTGCCACTTTGCATAGGAACTAGCTATGAAAATAATAAACAAGTTCAGTTTGATGAGCAAATCTCCATAGCGCCTTTTTTGTTAATACATTCAATTACCTGTCACAAGCATTTTACATGTTGACTATTCCCACGTGTCGGCATAATTAGGATCATCCCTTTGGTTAGTATTTAAATGTTTTGTAACTTACTTTATAAGATATACAGTATAAATCAATGCTAGCAATATCAATCAATTAATCACCATAAAATGCATTGTTTATTGAGACATGATAGCACACCACTGTAATTCCAACAGTGGGGAGGAAGGCAGGAGGAAGACAGAGATCCAGGAAAGTCTGGGCTACATAGGGAGACCTTCAAAAAACAAATACACTGGTTCACTATGATTCCCTAAAAGAAACTGCAAAAAAGCTATGCACATTTTCTTTTAAATTCTATGAGGTGTGAAATGGGATCCCATTTGGGAAAGAATGGAGGCAGGAACAGTCTCCTGAGAAGTCAGAACTACCAGTAGGGATGATGGAGATGGTGCTGGGGGCAGAGCCAGAGCCGGAGCCGGAGCTGGAGCCAAAGCCAGAGCCGGGCCACCCAGTGGCTTCCTGGGCGCCCCTGGCAAGCTTCGCACTGGTGTCATCCTGCTACCTGCGGGCGCCCCCCCCCCCCAAAGTCTCTGTCAGGAGCGAACAATACCAGGTATGAAGACTTATGCTGCTTTTCTGGACATTATTCTTCAGCTGATGTACATGTTCCACCTGACTTCTATACTTGACCTCCTAAGAGGGTTTACTTACATTCAGTTTAAGATTGTGTGAGTGGTAAGGGAGGGGGTGGGGGCAGGGGGGAGAAATGAACAGAGCCTTGTATGCACATATGAATAATAGAAGAAAAATGAAAAAAAAAATAAGATTGTCTGTAATACCAAAGATACCTTACATAGTTAGGAAAAAATGTAAATTTGTGAACATCAAATCAAAATATAGTTTCACCAGGGGGATAGGAAGAGACCAAACCAATTTAAAGCCAAGGCCAGGAAGAATGTGTACAGTTCTTTGTGCTATGGTGACACAAACATTCTAGAATCCTAAATTATGAGATCAAAAAGTTGGTTTGGGGATTACAAGTACGGAAGCTTGTATAGTCCTAAAAACATTAGATCAACTAGAAGGCCATGCCCTAGAAGAAGCCATTTAGACAAATCTTTTTCAAGATCATAGTGTAAGTTAGGTGCTGGTGGCTTGGGCCTGTAATCCTAGCTACTTAGGAGACAGAGATCAGGAGGATTGCAGTTTGAAACCAGGCCAGGCAAACAGTTCACGAGACCCTATCTCAACAAAACCCATCACAAAAAAAAAGGCTGATGGAGTGGCTCAAGGTATAGGCCCTGTGTTCAAACCCCAGTACCACAAAACAAAACAAGAAAAAATAGTCTCATTTTCTATGTGTCTGTTATCTGGTGAAAAGATGTTGGTGGACCATAACTTGCAATACTGTCATATTAAAACATAAATTTTCAGTGACTATGACAGAATGCAGGTATGTATCCTTAAGTGATCATTTTGTTTAATTAATAAAGCTCCCCTTAGGTTCTGTTTCATGCTAACTTAAAGCCAGTATCCCCATAGACTGGCTGTTAAAAAAAGTTACATTTATGTATAGTTTAAGAAAATAAGGATGGGTATGGTGGAGGCTGTCTACTCGGGAAGCAGAGATTGGGAGGATCACTTTTTGAGGACAGCCTGGGCAAAAACTTAATGAGACCCCTATCTCAAAAAACAAGCTCAGATGGTGGTACATGCCTGTAAT